GGAGCAAGCCTGGAGCTGGGGACAGCACTGGGACCAGTTGCTGCCTGTGATGTGGCAGGCTAGGTAAGCCATCTCACCCCACGAGGCCTCGGGTGTCAGCCACCAAAAAGCAGACTCCGTGTTTATGGCAGATGGTGCCCACCTTCAGCTGCTCCTGTAGCTCCGAGGCAGTCAGCACCACCACCTGGGTGGACCTCATGATCAGCAGGGCCAGAACCACTTCAAGCCCACCCTGCTGCTAAAGGCTGGAGGGGGACACTGGGCTGGCCTGGAGAGTAGGGCTGGGAGGGCACCTGGAAGTCCAGCAGCAGGTCCTCGGTGATGTCACCCGTGTGGATGCACACCTGAACAGCTCCATTGAGCTTAGCCAGAAGTTCTTGAGATGCCTCAGCCCTGCTCCTTCCCAAGTCCTGCTCTGAGAGGAAAAACTAAAGAGAGACCCAGTCTGGCTTTAGCAAGTTTTCTCTTGGGCCCTCTCCCCAAGGGCTGTGGTCTGGAAACCCATAGCCCCCCAGGACCCTCACCTGGGCAGACAGGTCAGACCAACAGGTAGGGTGGGGATCATGAAGAGTGAGGCTGCCCACGCCCATCAGGACCAGGTTTTTGGCCACCTCAGCCCCCACGCCCTGCAGGCCTGACAGTAGCACCTTGGCTCCCTGAATCCTCTGCATGGCTGGCAAGCCCAGCACATACCTGTGGGTGGGAAGTAAGAGGGCAGGCGATTGGAGATCAGAAGTCAGAAGGCCACCCCGCTCCTCCCCACCTCGGGCCTCACAGCTGCCGCGAGTACAGCTCTTCATCCAGCGACTTGGAGGTCTCCAAGACATCCATCCTGAGGCCTGGGGCCAGAAAACAGGCGGCAGCGCTTACAGATAGGGTCTCTGCGTGGCAGGCAGTGCCAGCAGGAGCCAGTGCAAACAGGCACTAAGGCTAAGGAGTGAAGCACACTGCCGGTCACAGCTTTCTTCCGGGCTCCTCTGTCATTTCGGGGGAAAGCAAAAGTGAAAGTGAAACTAGACTGAGCAGGCTCCTGGTCCTGCCTCCAGCCTGTCCAGCACAGCCTAACCTGGCAAAGAGGAGTTCTGGCTGCCCTAGGGCACTGGCAAGGAAGGACAGAATTCCTGGATCTGTTCCCCCTCTGGGAGAGCAGGTATTTCTCTTGAGGGAGGGGGCAGGGCCATAGGAGGGATCCATGCGGTCTCCTGTAGCTCCCTAGATGTCCTGAACCTCAGGCCCCTATCCCCCTCAGGGGCCCCTGCCTGGATGGGCTTCCTGCCCACAGAGTACCAGTGGGAACTCCCTTGTCCTGAGGACTTGCCTGATCTCCTAACCACACACAGAAACTTAAGAGACCCTAGAGGGCAGAGCCAGTCCCATCCCAGAGGCTTTGAGAGCTTATGGATTATGTTGTCCAGGGTTTAAACTACAGACTTGGGGTGGAGCCTAACATCTTTGAGAGTGCCTGTGTGCCCCTGAGCCATCTCCTCAGGGATCAGGGATTCCCCTCTGCCCACAGCTGCCTGGTCAGGACAGTCGGCAGCTCTAGGTAGCCAGTCAGGATCTCTCACTGATGAGTGCCAGGACTCAAAGAGGGTTCTCAGTCTCTGAGTGCCAGCCCTGAGAGTGGGAGGCATGGGGCAGCCATGATCACATGTCCTTATTTGTCATTTAAACTTTTATTTTGAAATAATTATAGACTCAGAGGAAGCTGCAAAAATAGAAAGGAGAGATCCTGTGTACCCTTCACCCACAGATGTCCCCTTCTGCCTTCTTAGGAACTTGGGGCCAGTTCTTTAGAGGATGGACCACAGCTCTCCACAAAACTCCACAATAGCTAAACCAGGTGCTATCATAAATTCTTTTTTTTAAATTGAGGGAAAATCCATACAACATTAAAATAACCTTTTTAAAGTATACAGTGTAGTGGCATTTAGTGTATTGACTATGTTGTGCAACCACAATCTCTCTCTAGTTTCAAGACTTCATCACCCACTGAAAAACACCACAACCATGTTAAATAATTGCTACCCATCCCACATCGCACATCTCACCCCCTGGCAAACACATATGCTTTCTGTCGCTAGGCATTTGCCCATTCTGGATATTTTATACAAAAGGAATCATACAAAATGTGACCTTTGGTATCTGTTTTCCTTCACTTAATCCTTTTGAGGTTAATCCAAATTGTAGCATGTATCAGTACATCATTCCTTTTTATGGCTGAATAATATTCCATCAGAGGCATAGATCACAATTTGTTATCCAGTCACCTGTTGACATTTGAGTTGTTTATACCTTTTGGATATTATGAATTGTGCTACTACGATTGTTCTTGAACAAGTATTTGAGTACTTGTTTTCAATTCTTTTGGGTATATGTCTAGGAGTAGAATTGCTGGGTCACATGGTAATTCTATGTTTAATTTTTTGACAGACCAACAAGCCATTTTCCACAAGCAATGTACAGAAGTGATCTCCACATCATGGCCAAAATGGTTTTCCTTTTTTTTTCAAATTATATCCATCCTAGAGGGTGTAAAGTAGTAGGTAATTGTGTTTTTTTTTTTTTTCATTCAGTGAACATTGGCTGTGTTATACATACTAGGTACAGAAACCAGGGCCAGATTCTGAAGTGGTATCTTCAAATAGATACCAAAAGGCATTTGATGAAATTCAACATCCATTCCTGATTTTTTTTAACTCTTATTAAAATAGAAGTAGATAGATTTTTTAAAATTATGGTTTTAACCATTTTTAAATGTACAATTCGGTGGCATTAAGTACATCCACAATATTGTGTAACCATCACCACTATTTCCAGAACTTTTTCTTTATCCCAAAGAGAAATACTGTATCCACTGAACAGTAACTCTTCAACAATCTTAGATCCCCTGTTTCCCTGGAGCTTCTATTCTATTTTGTCTCTATGACTTTGCCTATTCTATGTACCCAATGTAGGTGGAATTATAAAGTATTTGCCCTTTTGTGTCTCGTTTATTTCACTTAGCATACCTTTTCAACATTCATCTAGGTTGTAGCATGTATCAGAATTTTGGTCCTTTTTTTATTGTGATAAAATATGCATAAAATGAAATTTACCATTTTAACATCTTTAAATGTACGGTTCAGTAGCATTAAAGACATTCACATTGTTGTGCCACCATCACCACCATTCATCTCCAGAACTTCATCCTCCTAAATTGAAACTCTCAACCCATTAAATAATAACTTCCCATTCCCTCCTACCCCACCCGTGGCAACAACCATTCTACTTTCTGTCTCTATGAATTTGACTACTCTAGGTATCTCATATAAATGGAATTATACAGTATTTGTCTTCTGTGCCTGGATTATTTCACTTAGCTTAATGTCTTCAAGGTTCATCTATGTTATAGCATGTTTCAGAATTTTTTAAAAGGCTGAGTAATATTCTATTGTATGTATAGACCCAGAGTTTTGTAGTTTTCCCTCACAGAGATCTTGTACATATTTTGTTAGATTTATACCTAAATATTTGTTTTCTTTTTTCTTCTTCTTTTTTGGTGCTGAAGTAAATGGTATTGGGTTTTTAATTTTAGTTGTTGGGACTTCCCTGGTGGTCCAGTGGCTAAGACTCCATGTTCCCAATGCAGGGGGCCCAGTTTCAATCCCTGGTCAGGGAACTACATACCACGTGCCACAACTAAGAGTTTGCATGCCACAGCGAAGATCCCATGTGCTGCAATGCAACTAAGACCTGATGCAGCCAAATAAACATTTAAAAAAAATTAAAAATAAAAATAATTTGAATTGTTCATTACTGATCTATAAGAAAGTTATTAGCCAGCCACTGCACCCTTAACTTGATGCTACACTTCCCCTCACTAACTGTCCTTGTCTCAAGGCAGCACCAGAGGGGTCCAACTCCCATAACCAAGAGTGTCACTTCCTCCCCAAGAAGCCCAAGGCTCCTCCACACCTGCTGGAGAGCAGCTGGGCACTCTCTGCCTGAAGCATTCTCCCCTGTGCCAGGTCCATGCTGGGATCTGCAGAAACAGGTGAACTCCCATCCAGTAGTGAGAGAGGAAAGTTTAGGGGTCCTCATCCAAGCTAGAAGTTCAAAGGGAAGTCTTCTGGGAGAAAGTGCTTTTGAAGCTAAGATGCAGAGGCTAGCAATTTGTCTGGTAGAGTTGAAAGGTGGAGAAGAGGGGGGTGTCACTGGTCATTTGTTGTGCTTGCTGTGAGTTCCCTGTGTGTCTAAACCCTAGTTCACCCATTTGCTTTCCTGCTTATGGCCTTTGCACTGTGCCCAGGTTAGAGACTGTGGACAAAGCTGAGGTGATGTCACTCTTGCTACAGTCTCCCTGTGCCCTATGAGAGGGCAAATGCCCAAGGGTGAAGCTGCTGGGTCTGGGTCTAGGTGAAGGTCCCGCTTTAGAAAATCATGCCAGGCAGTTCTCCAAAGTGAGGGCAAATTTACACTCCCAGAGTCAGAAAGAAAAGACTCTATCTTTTTTATTTCACAAAGAAATCTGGCCCCCCTCCTCTCCCTACCACCATCCCCCATTCCCTGCCCTGCTTGGTCCAGGCCAACAGCAAGTCAGAGACAGGCAGAAGCTTGGGCAGGCTGAGGCTGCCTGAGAAGCCTCAAGCACTTTGGTCCTTACAGTCAACAAAAAACCTTGGTCTGGAGGACCAGAAGCAGCCCAGCCACATCTGATCATGGCTATAAATGGGAGCCTGGAATAAGGAGCAAACCCTGCTGGAAGGAACAGTGAGCTGATCACATCAGCTCTCACAGGGAGACCCAGTATCATGGAGGGTGGGGCAGGGTGTGTGTGCAGGAAAAGCACAGTTTCTGGGCCTCACCTTCACCCCCACCTTCTTGTTTATCCTTGTCCTCAGGGCTGGTCCTAGAAGAGGGGCCATGCCCCCCAAACCATCTGCCGAGCCAGTCAGCAGTCCTCGGCCTATAAGTGTCAGAGGCATGTATCTGGCCACTGATCAGACTCACTGTTCTCACTACCACAGGAAGGTGTCCAGCTTGGCCTGGGAGGGAGGGAGCACTGTCCTGGCCCCCAGTCTCTGCTTAGCCCTGGCCTTGGGCTTGGGTTTAATGGGCAGTGAGCGGATCATAGTCGTGTCAGTCTGGAGGAAATGTCAAGGAAGAGGCCTAAAGAGGGGACTGGAATGGAATGCAGGGCAGGAAAGGCTCAGACTGGTGGTGGGCAGCCCTGCTATACTGAGTAAGGTCTGGCTCTGCACACCTGGGGCTGCAGCCACTGGTGGGCTGGGGTCTGGGGGTACAGGTGAGGGGTTATGTGAGCACCACAGCTCAGCTCAGCCCAATGCTACAGAACAAGGATACAGGCTGGATGAATTTTGTCCGGCCTCCAAGTCCATCGAAGCCAGTCCTTACCTAAAGCAGAAGGAAGAGGTGAGTGGGCCAGGCTAATGGGCTAGGGGGCTGGCCACCCAGCCCCACCCCCAAGGAGGCTGGCACTTGCCACTTTTAGGAAACCACACTCACTGCATCTGTGCTGCGACAGGGCTCTGCCCTGGTCCTCTTGGTCTGTTTCTGGCCCAGGACAGCATTCCGGATGAAGACAGGGAAGGCACCAGCCAGCTCCTCATCAGGCTCTCCCAGACAGCGCTGGCCGCCCAGCAAGAGCTTGGACTCCTGCAGAGGAGACCCCAGAGCCAGGCTTGATAAGCCGGATGGCAGCAAACAAGGAGGGTAGGAGGTGTGTTGGAACAGGATCAGGATCTCTGATGCTTCACCAGGAGGCAGGAAGGACAGTGATTAGGGCTCCCAGGGTGGCTCCAACGTGCTTCAGTCCTCCAGGGGTGAGAGGACTCTGGCAAGACCCTGACCTCTCAGAAAACCAGATTCATACTCAGTCCGGGCCAGAGTTGGAGGGTGATTGCCTGAGCTTCTTCTGGGAAGCCTTACCTGCTTGGGGCCTTTGGGCATCTTCTTGAGAACGTCCTGAACGGGAGAACTGCAAGAGCAAAACGTGAAGACAAGAGGCAGGTGAGCAAGACATAAGGGGTAGGTGAGGGACTTCCCTGTTGGCAGAGTGGTTAAGCATCCGCCTGCCAATGCAGGGGACACGGGTTCGAGCCCTGGTGCGGAATGCCGCGGAGGAACTAAACCTGTGCGCCACAACTACTGAGCCTGTGCTCTAGAGCCCATGAGCCACAACTACTGAGGCCCACATGCCTAGAGCCCGTGCTCTGCAACTAGAGAAGCCACCACAAGGAGAAGCCCGCGCACCGCAAGGAAGAGTAGCCCCTGCTCGCCGCAACCAGAGAAAGACCCTTGTGCAGCAAAGATGCAATGCAGCCATAAACAAACAAGCAAACAAATAAATATATTTTTAAAAGGGGGGGCAGGTGAACCAGGCTCAGCACATTCCCCTTGGGGAGCCACCGCGTGGCATGGCTGCTGGCATGGCTGCATGTTGGGCAAGGCACCTCAGTAATCCCCACCCCAAAAGCAGGTCTGTGAACAGCTGGATAGCCACAGCCACCAGAGTGGTGGAGGCAGGGGAGGTTGGGCCATATTCCAATCTTGTGGCTTCCACTCAGGGACAAACCAATTCCACTGGAATGCTCACCCTTGGAATGATGGGCTCTCAGTCACCTCACCGCATCCTGGGCTGTATGTGGGGCTGGAGGGCCCAACAAATTCACTACTCACAGAAGGAAGGCCACTCATGCCCTGAAAATGAGCTCAGGCCTAGCCCCATCTGCCCAGAGAGGGGTCACCACCTCCAGAGGACCCTCAGTAAGTTAGAGAGCCCGTAGAGTACTCTCAGAACACAGGGTTAGGCCATCTCCCTAGATAAATCTGTGCAGGTAGGGTCTGGGGCAGAACAGATCATGGCCCCAGGCCCTGGTCTGCCACTCCTAGTTCCAGATCTGGACCCAGTGTTTCCATCCAACTCCTGGGGACCCTAGCAGCTGGATACCCTCTTCTCATATCTTCCCAGAAGAGTGGGAGAATGGTGACCTAAGGCTGACCCTGTGGATTCTCAAAGCCATAAGGACAGGGGCAGGATCAGGGCCTGCAAATACTAAACCCCTCTGTTCCTGTCCCCATAGCCTGTGGTGATGCCACATGATGACCATGGGAAGAAACTCCTCTTGCTCCACTTGCAAGTCTGGTTCTGGGGAGGCTGGGCTTCCTCACCCCCCTCACAGCCTCTGAAGATGGTAGAAATGTCTCTAAAAGGTATAGTAGCCTGCAGGCCCCAGGTGCCCACTTTCAACCTTTATAGCTAAAGAGGCAACAAGAGGAAGCCAGAGTATCGAGCAGGCACTGATAGGCCCCCTGACTGTAGCCCACATGCTCTAGGTTTGTTTCTCACTGCTACCAGGCCTGGCCCTATACAGCACTGGTGCCTCTGCCCCTGAGTCTGGGGAGGGGTAGATAATCCAGCTGGCTTTCCCTTTTGTCCTCTCCCTGGGCCTCCTCTACCTCCACTGCCTAACATCTCAATTTCTTTCTCTCATGTCCAAAGTCTCTGATTGAGAAAAAACTTGCTCAGCCCCTGACTCCCTTACCTGAGCAGCGTACACCTACATGGATGTACAGGAGTAGCTCTTGTCTCCATGATGAACTAGTGGCCTGCCTGGCCAAGGAGACAGCCTCCCCACTCCCAGTCCCACTGTACCAATAGTGCAGGTCCCACCCATACCACTGCAGCTCCTCATAGCTTTTCATGTCTGCCCCTGTGGGCTACCTCCTTAAGTGGCAGGGCTCTGGGTTCCATGGTCTGATATGGTCCTGCCTCAAGCATGAGCCTGTGGGGCACACAATGGAAGAGGAACTTCAGAGTCCCTGACTTAAGACTCCAGCGAGCCCATTCAAGGTACTGGGAGCACCCTGCCTCCCAACAGCATCAGCCCAGACCTGCCCCTGCTGGGACTCCCGTGTTCTCTCTAATTCACATCCCCAACTTTGCTTGAAGGGTGATTGTGAAGATTAATGAGACAAGCAACAGAAGGGCTTTGTACAGATTGAGTACTCAGGAGAGGGCAGAAAGGTAGCTGGAACCAAAGCCACGGCCATGGCCATGGCCAAGCCCAGGTGACCCTCACTGCCCTGTCAGCCACTCAGAGCTATTAGGGCAGGACCTGCAGAGATCTCTTTGCCATCCTCCCTCCAGGCTGTGGAAGGGCCAGGGGCTACCACTTACTGTGCCTTCTCTGGGAAGAGCCTCTTGGCATGGCCATGCTGGGTGCTGGAGGGCTGGGCTGGGGGAGTATCCACATTAAAGGTGGCATTGAGGTCAATATCATCGCCGAAGGCTGGCCGGCGAAGCTTCAGGTTCAGCATCTCCACAGGAGCTGGGCTATAGGCAGAGATGGCCTGGTTAATCAAGACCACAGTGGCAGCCCAGAAGGACAAAAGCCCCTCAAGCATCAGAGATGGCTCAGCTCCAGGGGCCTGGAGCCCACACATGGTTTAGAGCCATCCTGCAAGGAAGCCCAAATCTCTACAGAAAAAAACCACTTGGCTTAGTCCTTCACACAGTGGAAGTCTGGAAGACATGAAAGGAAGCAAGCAAAAACTCACACAAAACCCAAATGTACAACTAAAAGGTCTTTTGTTCACGTAGCCTCATTTCTCAGAATGCAGTGCAAGGATCCTGTCAGAGAGGTGACCACAGACTGAAGTAAAGGGATGTCCCTTCCAGCGCTACTTATTATGACAAATGGCACAATATTAGAAACTGTCAAAATGACTCCCCTAGGGGGCTGGTACTTTCATAGCTTGAATATGATATACACATTAAAGTAGTGTTTCTAGAGAGTAAACTTAACAACATGGGAAAGTGCTCATATGTTAAATTTAAAAAGCAATACAAGACTCTATAGTCAACAAAAGAAAAAACAGAAAAATTAGACTTCACAAAAATTTTAAATTTCGCGCATCAAAAGATACTATCAATAGAGTAAAAGGGCAATCCACAGAATGGGAGAAAATATTTGCAAATCATATATCTGTTAACGGATTAAAATCCAGAATATATAGAGAACTTCAAAAACTCAACAACAAAAAAGCAAATAACCCGATCGAAAATGGGCAAAGGACTTGAACAGACATTCCTCCTAAGATGATTTATAAATGGCCAATAAAGGGGAGCTCCCTGATGGCCTAATGTTTAGGATTCTGGGCTTTCACTGCTGTGGCCTGGGTTTAATCCCTGGTCTGGGAACTGAGATCCCCACAAGCTGCAGCATGGCCAAAAGAAACCCCCCCCCCCAAACAAACGGCCAATGAAGACATGAAAAGACCCCCAATACCACTAATCATTAGGGAAATGCAAATCAAAACTACAATGAGACACCCCTCACACTCATTAGGATGGCTACCATAAAAAAAAAAAAAAACAGAAAATAACAACTATTGGTGAGAATGTTCTTAAATTGGAACCCTGTGCACTGTGGGTGGGAATGTAAAGTGATTAAATCACTGTGGAAAACAGAAAGACAGTTCCTCAAACAATTAAAACTAGAATTATCAAGTGATATAGCCATTCCATTTCTGGGTGTATGTGCAAAAGAACTGGAAGCAGGATCTCAAAGAGATATTTGTATATCCATGTTCACAGTAGCATTATCCACAATAGCCAAAAGGTGGAAGCAACCCAAGAGTCCATCTACAAAAGAATGCATGAGCAAAATGTGGTATACACACACGATGGAATATTATTCAGCTTCAAAAAAGAAATTCTACAACATGAGTGAACCCTGAGAACATTATGCCAACTGAAAGAAGCCAGTCACAAAAAGACTGTATGATTCTACTTACATGAGGTATTTGTAGTAGTCAAGACCATAGAGACAGAAAGGAGAATGGTGGTTGCCAGGGGCTGAGGGGGAGGGGGAGGAAATGGGGAGTTACTGTTTAATGAGTATAGAATTTTTTACAAGACAAAAATTCGGGGGATGGATGTTGGTGATGGTTGCACAACCTTATGAACATCTTTAATACCACTGAACTGTACACTTAAAAATGTTGGTAAGGGACTTCCCCAGTGGTCCACGGGTAAAGAATCCGCCTTCCAATGCAGGGGACGGGGGTTCGATCCCTGGTCGGGGAAGTAAGATCCCACATGCCATGGGGCAACTAAGCCCATGCGCCACAACTACTGAGCCTGCGTGCTTCAACTAGAGAGAGAAAACCCGCACGCCACAACTAGAGAGAAGCCCGCGCGCCACAGTGAAAGATCCCGCATGCCACAAAGAAGATCCCACGTGCCGCAACTAAACAGGATGCAGCCAAAAAAAAAAAAAAAAAAGTTGGTAAATTTTGTTATGTATATTTTACCACAATAAAATTGGGGGGAAAAAAACAAAGAAAACTCTGTGTATAGTACAATCACATGACTTGTGCACACACAACCCCCACTCTACCACATACAGAAAAAGGACTTGAAGGGAATATACCACTGGTCAATGGTGACTACCTCTATAAGTCCATATTTTCCAAATTCTCAACAATGAATGTGTTTTTACTTTTCTTAATGGGGGAAGGGTATAATTCTATTAGAAAATTTAAGCCAACAGGATTTTTTCTAGCCTATCCAGACCTGGTGGGGCTCCCCAGCTCCTGTGATCAGAGAACTCTGGGGAGTGGCAGGGGAAGCCCCAAGACCACTCTTT